GAAAGGTTCTCTTGGAAACACGATATAACCGAACTCCACGCGGGCGAAGCTGCGGGCGGAAAGCTAGTATTCAATAATTTTCATATTCCTTTTGCAGATACCTTACTTTTATGTCCAAAAAATTATTTTTTTAAACTTAAATATTGTATTGTACGTAGTCCAAATTTGTGTCAATATTATACGAAAAATATTAGTTTCATTTAAATGAATATTTGCCAACGTCTTAGATGACATACTGATTTATATTTTCCAAGGTCTGGATTTTATTAATTCATCAGCTGGTTACTCGGAACACCCTTATTTCAGGTTTGGGACAATCCACCAGAGAATCAAGGTTACAAGCGCAAGCTAAACCGTGTTGTTCTTTTAAAGCGGTGAGAATTATTGTTGAGGTTTTTGGGGTAGTTCTTGCTCTACTTACGAGCCCTACATTCCTCCTAGACTTCTCTTGGGTTATAGAAAAGTGATAAATCGCTTCCACGACGTCAAACCAAAAAGTTCAACTTCTACCAAAAAGACAGTTGCTAATAGTGAAGTTATATTATAATTTTCAGCAAATTTATCAAAATTCAAGGATTGTCTTATCGGACTTACTAATAAATATCCTACTCAAAAGAAACCAACAGTTTCTGTGGTTGATTAACTGGATGAAACTTGAGCTTCCATCAGGGTAGTTCACTAATGTATGTATAGGTGGTTAAATGACAAAGTATAATAGTTCTCGTAATTCTTATAATTAATTGTATAACATGCATATATCTGGAATGTAAAATAAGTAAAAATTTGTCTTTGACTAAAACATACAACAAAGTCTATCACATTTCTACATATAAACTCATTAATTTAAATGACGCTAACAGCTTAATTATCACCGTCTCGTGACGAACGAATTCGTTTCGGTGTACGATGTCACGGAGTGAGGGTGGAGATCTTGTACGGTGTGATAAGAGGACAGATGGGTTTATTTATGACGCAATTGTAACAATAACTTTACATACGAGTACATTTCCCTTTTTAGGGAAAGCTTCGTCCTTTTAAAGTTACCCCCAAAAATAGATAGCATACAATACTACAAAGCTATACAGGGTGACTGGTGAATTACTATCAATATTTAAGGAGAATACTCGGTACATGATTCTCATTCGAATTATGTAAAAAAAATAGGTACTTAATTTTTGACCAAATTTCCGTATAAATGAATAAAGTGCGGACACGTTCCAAGTGTTCCAAGTGTGGACGCGTGCGGCGGCGTGCTGATACAACACTACGCCGCCGCGCGCGAGTGTGTGTGTGTGTGTGTATACCTAATCTGTAGGGTGTTCACACGATGCGTAATTAATTACATAGCTTTTGGTTAACTTTACTTAGAAGTTTATTAATATTTATGTTATATTAACTTTTATTTTGTCATATATGATCGTCAAATATCACGTCCTCAAATATCGATAGTAATTCACCAGTCGCCCTGTATATTTGCAGAAAAGAATAAAGACATTGCAAAAGTACCAAATGAATTTATGCCTGAAAATGTTGCAGTCAAATTTCTCAGGATATGTTTAGGATCGTTTAAAGAAAATCGTTTGGATTTGTGGAATGTATGTTTTGATATGATATTCAAAAATTAGATTTTTTTTGTTTTCTTAATAGAAAATTCACTATAATCACATTGTGTATTCTAAGCACATATTTCGACACCACTTATTCTTACCTCTCGTTTCTAAACGTTTCGTTCAAACAGCGTACATTAATGTATTATTTTCTTTAATATCAAATCGGAGATTAAATTACTATCACATTGTATTCAAACGTCACAATGACTGTATTTAAAACGTATTAATATTTTTTTATCAATGATAACTTTATCGTGATTAAATATAAATCGTTGTCTGATTTTTTATATCTGTTGTTTTTGATAAAGTTTTTTTATAATACTGATATTTTGGGATTTACAATGCTTTATTTAATTTAACTACATAGTCCCGGGGTTTCGGTTATTTTTCAGCAACCGTGATTGACAGACGAGATGAAAATGCCTGTACAGACAGAGAGATTAACTTCGGGAGTATTTTATAACTATAAATAAGATATCTCATTAAATATTTTTTTAAACGTCATAAAGAAAATATCGACCTATATCAACCTTTTCTTTCCTGGCGAGAATCTATAAATTATCTTGAGAATAAGTGGTTTTACTTGAGATAGCTGTAAAAACTAATTGTAACCCACATAGGAGAAACAATAAAACATAAATATTACAATACCATATAGTATTTTGAACTGAATAAAGGAAATATCACATAGGAATAAATAACTTTCGAAACCAAAATATTTCGAATTAATATTTTAACTTATTTTTTAATGCTATGGCTTCATTCAAACTAGAATCGTGGTAGTTTTACTTATGTGACCACTGTCAATTTGATAATTAAAGATAAAATTTTGTTCCAATTTAATGATAAAACATTTATAACACATATATTTTTGTCAAAAAACAATATTCTCACAAGAAAATACAAAAATAACGTAATTGTAATCTTGGCTCCACACTTATTTTATTTCGAGAGCTCTGGGGATTTTTTACACTTCCATGAGTATTCGTAAATTTCAATCAAAGAAACGGCTTCTAAGAAATAACAGAAATAATGATAAACTTATTTATAACTTATATTTTAGTTTACAAAAGTTTTTTTCAATTGTAACCATTATAACGAGTATTAATAGTATTCAGTTTAATACATATATAGCCCTTGCGTTAGTATACATATATATACATATATATATTAATCAGTGGTGGCCTTGTGGTTAAAAGGTCCGCCTCTCTTGCATGAGGGCGCGGGTTCGATCCTGGCCCAGGTAGGTGCCAATGTGATTTTTCCGAGTCATATGTACTTTACAACAAATTACCGTCTACTATAAGAAATGCAAACTCAATTAACGAATTTAAATCTCAACTTTCACAATATATTTTAGAAAATAATTGATATACCAACGATATAACACACTTGTAATAATATCTTACTATCTATAATTGAGTACCAAATAATCTGGCGACTACTTTTGTATTTTCACTTTTGTATGTACTCGTATGTTCTCATGCAAGTGACTATATCTTTTTGAAAATAAATTCTTTTAACCTTATTATAATATGTACATACTAACATACAAGCTCCCGTCCACCTCAGAATATATACTTCGTTTGAACTGAACCTTGCAACTGATTTATTTTCCCATTCGTTTGAAACGAAAGACAAACAACTCTTGTAAATCTTGTCAGGCATTTTATTAGTGTATTTTAACATGAAATATATTACAACCAGATTTTATTATTCAAAATACAGGCACAAGAAATGGCGATAGGAACTTTGTTCTACCAATTTCAAAAAAGGAGAATTAATATTAATGTACTGCTAATATTCTGGTTTGACCTATATTCTATTATTTATATGTTTGTCAGATGGTGAAGGAAAATATCTTTAGGAAACCTGGACTTATAATTTCACAATTATAAATTTGAAATCGCCAACCCGTCTTGAGCGAGCGTGGTGATTAATGCTCAAACCTTCTCCATGTGAGAAGAGGCCTTTCAGCAGTGGGCTCTGATAGGATGATGATGATATAGACCTCTATTCTCATAGTTAATACTATATATAAATAAAGGTTAAATATCTTCCTTAATAATATTTCTTTGTTAATTTAACTGGACAGTTAAAATAAACATATAATTAAAAATTCTCTCTCATTTACACTAACTGCATCTAATACGTGATTGTAACGCTTCTGTTTTTTTAATTCGAGATCGTTAAAATGTTCAGGTTAAATTGTAATGTTAATCAACTTATTGTAATTAAATCTGTTCTGATGTATTAATCACCAGCTATATATGAGACTACCAATCTACCACTTGTAACTCAGTTATAATGGACCTCTTATTTGGTGAGTTTTTTTACTGATTTAATAAAATATATATTATATAACAAAAAAAAATCTTATGTATTTAGAAGTATACTTTTTGTTGAATCTTTTGAGGTATATAAGATATGAGGTATATATTTGGTAAAGAAACAGATTTTAACTGATCTTTTTGTTGTAGAAAATGTTTTGGTGTCGTACTTCTGGAAAGTACATTTTAAAGATACAAATTAATTGCTATTGTTTAATTATAATTGATAACTTTATAAACAAAGAAAAAAGTGAAAATATTTTTTTTTTTGTATAATCTTCATCTTTTAACAAAAATCATTTAATAAACTAGTATTAATATTAATATAATTTAATTTTATACAAATTCACAAGGTATATTGATGCATATTTTCTTAAAAACGAAGTTAAAACTATGAAATTTCTAATTGGTTGTATAAAAAAATACATTTAAATTCTTTATATTTGAATTTTATCAAGTATTTTTGTTTTGTTTGATAAAATCATGCAGTATTACACATTCGAAGCTAAAAAAATATAACAATCGGTCTTAATCTTTATAATATTAGTAACAAGGAAAAATTATTTTGATTAAAACAAGCAATCAATCATTTTCATATCACAATATTATCTTCACGTGTGAATACTAGACATTTATATTAAATTTATTTGTAATTTAAACAACTCATTGGTATTTATCTGATAAGCTTATAATTTAAATGAAACTAATATTTTTCGGATTATACTACGCGACTTTATTTTTGTAAAAACTGCATACTCCCGACGTTTCGGCTTCTTTTCAGCATCTCGTATTTATGATCACGGTTGCCGAAAAGTATCTGAAACATCGGGAGTATGTAGTTTTTTACGAAAATAAAGTCTAGTGGTATATCCGAAAATATTAGTTTCATTTAAATGAATAAAACTCGCGAAAATCTTAGATCTTATAGCCTTATCATGTCCAATGTCGATAACTATAGGTAATAATCAAATTATTATATATTTTTCAATGTTTTTGTATGTTTGCAGTACTGGGGGTAAGTTTCATTGGGTTACTCATCCCATGCCAATGTATTGAGTTCATGGACATCATCCTTAATGATACAGACATAGAACAAGAATGGACAACATCAGATCAGGAAACTGAAAATTTTGTGAAGAACATAAAGTTTTTGAAACTTCTCCCCTTGAATAAGGAATGGAAAAGCAAAATTAGTGATAGTTCAGTACAATCTGATAACAAGAAGATGGAGTCTGTACCAATAGTCTTAATACTGGCAACAGCAGGTGGTAGTGAAGAAATAAGGGATAGTACAGAACCAGAAGCTTCTGTTGATGAGAAATCAATACTTATTAGTAACGAAGATGTAGAAAATATTAAAGAAGAAGATGATTATCAAATTATAGATCCAAATGTAAGTTTAAAAACGAATCCAGAAGTAGAAGATTCGGTTAAAAACATTGAAGAAACTGTAGATCATGTGGTTAGAGAAGAATTAAGAACAACCGTCCAACCAATTCATGATCAAGATGTGAATATTGAAGAAATAGATAAAGAAGATATAACAGAAATAGAAGAAATCAAGAATGATATAGATGAAGCTCTATCGGATTGCAAGAAGGACAAAAATTGCAAATTTACACCAGACGATGACAGTTCAGAAATAACAGAAGATTTATTTGTTAGTCAAGAAAAATACAGTTTAGAAGATTCAGAACACAGTTTAGTTAAAGATGAGAAAAGTTTAGATAAAACATACAAACTATCAATCGTGATCAATAAATATATAATTGTTAAATAAATAATAACACGACAATGATTTTGGAACCCAATGTAACAATTGACCATTATCTGTAATTATTTTATGGATTCGTTAATTTCAAATAAAGATTACATGTTTTTTTTTCAATTTGCAATGGATTTGTTTTATTTAAATATTCAAGCAGTTACTATTAGATTAGTCTACAGTAACTAAAAAGTTACTATTAAGTAGTGTTATAATAAAATAATGAAGTGACTTATATGAAGATAGCGGACGAGTTTATCTTGATATTGTTTAAAAACTAATCAAAATAAATGTCAAAAGTTTTGGACTGAGATGAATATTATATCATAATAAACAATTGTTTTAAAAGGCGAAAAAAAGTTAGAAGGAGCTTAAGAAATTAATTATGAAACTTTGTATTGCTGGAATAAACAGGAAGGGATAGAAATTTTTATTGTTTCTTTAAGACAAACTTTATTAACATTACTTACCTCTCAATCTGAGTCTTTTTATCCCTCCCCCCCCCCCAGAGCGTTAAACGTTTAACGCAACCTTGTTGTAAGTCGTATAAGAAGTTTCAACTTAACACGTTTTGCTGTTTAAAAATTTAATATAAACTAAAAGTTTTGTTTTATTATTTATATAAGTCTATAAATGTGAAGTTGGAAAACAAAATGTATCACTCACATTTTAAGCAAATCTATGAGTCTTGGAACAGTCTTTGGGCTTTCTTGTAGCATCTTGTAGCATCCTTGCAAAAAAAGGCCTTAAAACCATCTCAAATAGAAAAAAAACTCAAAAATATAACCAGTACATTTATTTAAATAACATAATCATAAGTTATAACCGTCATGGGTGTAGAGATGAGATTTTTTGAGGCATTTACATCCTAGCTCTGATCCAGCTTGCGAAAGAAGTGACGCGAGCATAACCACTAGGCAGACCAGCCTGGCATCCCCGAGCCGACACGAAAGAAGTTATACCGATCTGAAATACATAACATACAGTTATTATACTTCATCATCATCATCAGCCTATCAAAGCCCACTGTTAAGTAAAGGCCCCTTCCCACATGGAGAAGGTTTGACGATTTCAAACTTATAATTTTCAAATTCACGATGTTTTTCTTCACCGTCAGTCAGTGGTATTTAAATACTCTTAGAAAGTACATATGACTAGGAAAAATCACATTGGTACTTGCCAGGTTTCGAAGTTACGCCCTCATGTACAAGGGGCAGGCCTTTAACCTCTAGGTTACCACGACATTATTACACTAAATGCTGTTTTATATCGTCAGAATAATTTTTGTGTTCAGATTTTGATAGGCAACCTCTGATTGTGTCTAAGATTTGATGGGTGACCTTCTGTTCTTTGTACTAGTCTCGAGGACTTTTTCCTAAGCTTTTGCCTTGACAAGTATCTACATAAACTTCCTTTTGATTTTTTCATCCAATGAAATATGTAGTTTGTGGCGGTATTTTTATTAAATTGAAAGACTGGATGGTAAACTGATATAAGGAACAAATTACCAAGTATCTGACTCCACTGAAGGTGAACACCAAAGGTCCTCCAGAATCTCCGGAGCAAGGCCCCACTCGACCCAAGCCGCTGGTGCAGAGATTTGAGTGAATGACAGACGAGGTACCGAAGATGTTGGCGCATTCGAAGTTCTCAATGACGGTCAAGGCGACTTGACGGAGACTATTGTCACCGGCGCTTGCTGGAAAGACATTCAATTGATTCTGGTTTTACCTTTACATTCGCGGGACGATATTGTCAAAATTCTACATTAAATGTTTAATTAATGTTAGTGTTAATAAACTTTGATAATAATTTATGTATTTTAAGTTCAGATTTTTTTGTGTGTGAAAGGTGTCAAAAAGTAGACGGCCTACTTGGTGTGCAGTAACCACCGTAGCCTATGGACATTCGCAACATCTCTGTTGCTGATGCTTTGCCAACCTTTGTTTTTGAGCACTAGGGAGGCGCATCAATAAAAAAATGATAGGAAATAGGTGGGAATAGAAGAAGGGCAACCGGCACTCTAACTCATCGAACGAAACGATCTTCAGTGAGAGGGTGGTACTTCCCCGGTGGAGCCAGCCCACGTTCGACCTGTAGTCACATGACAACGGCTAGGCTCTACCACCTATAGATGCTTAAAAAGGAATGAATTATTTTATATATAAATAGAAGAATGTCTTACAGTCTGAGATCCTTCCGTAGCCGGCAGCGACCGCTCGCTCGCCAGCGTAGTTGAAGTTCAGAAGCAGACCGCTGGGTAACGCGACGGCTCTTATATTATCTATAATAAAAAATTAATAAATATTTATTATTATCTAATTTCAAGTATTGGTAGCTAGATTTATTAATTTTGAGATTTATGACATATACGAGTACATATATATTTTTAAATAATAACGTAATTGTAGCAAATGAAAGGTCTTAAACGTAAAAAAATTTGTAGAAATAGCAATAGTTGCTTTCCAAACTTACTGTTGAAGGATACACTGGGTATTGTGATGATGGCTACATCGTTGTTCAGGTTGTCCTGGTTGTAGCTACCGTGTAGTTGGATTCTGTTGGTCTCTATCCTGGTGCCACCACTGAAGAGTTTGGTCGAGGCGAGGACTACGGTTATGCTTCTTCCCTGGATAGTTCTGGTCCTATAGCAGTGAGCGGCGGTCACGAGACGAGTGTTACTGATGAGTGAGGAACCACACATAGACCGTCTGTTGTCAGTGAGTGATACTATTAGACCAGCCTGGAAGAAAAACCATCTTAAGATACTGGATACGACTTAACTGTCCCTGGTAAGGCAGCGTTTTTGATCTGTTGGCTATTTATCATAATCAGGTTTTGTTTTTTGTATCTAACATAATATAAAATGTCTTACAATCCATGGATTGGATCCCAATCCTGCAGATGAGCCGCCAACGATCCTAGATCCATCGAAGTCTGCTGCTGCCTCCGCCTGCTGGATCCTGCTAGCTTCTGGAATGCCGATGGTCTCGTGGTAGTCGACGGAGATCGGCTCATAGTCCAGCCTCCTCGCTCCGACCACAGCAAACAGAGCCAGCAACGCTAATACCTTCATATTGAAGCTTTGACAACCTTACATCTACCAGCCACTTTTATAAGTAACACTAATCAATTTAATCTGTTTCCTTACAAGATATAATAACTAATTAATCTCCAAAAACAAAAAAACGATTAAACATCCTGACGTCAGGGAAAAACCAGGCATTTTACAGTGAATACGTTTGATAGGATATGTTATCATAAAAAGAAGTACAAAAAAACCTGTCTCAATTATTATGAAATCATTAATATACACGAGAAGTTTGTTGAACGCGATAGTTCTGCACTATTATTCTATCCGAGGGTAGATTAAAATAAAACCGCATGTGTTAAATACTCATCCCTTTAACAGTGTATTCACTTTTGCCATTATATGTAGTATCCCAATATTAATTTGAAGATATAGAGGAGACTACTTTAGTCAGTGGTGGCTCAGTGGTAGAGGGCCCGCCTCTCGTCACCGAGGGGGCGGGTTCGATCCAGGCCTGGGCAAGTACCAATGTGATTTTTCCGAATCATATGTACTTTTTAAGAGTATTTAGACATCACTGATTAATGTTGATTCCCAAAAAGAGGGTTGATGTCAGGCAGGCGGCCGGTCGTAAAAACAATTAGCCAAAACTATTCACAACATATAAGGCAGACCCTGGCTAAAGCTGGGAAATTGCCAGGTAGAAGAAGAAGAAGAGGAGACTACTTCAATCTCAGCTATTGTGGATCTCTTATTTGGTGAGATTATTTAACCAATTTCGTTAATTATATGTTTTACATAAAATATTTTTTTTATGTCTGTTTGAGAAGACTTTTCCAAAACTTTTTAAGGATTATTTTTGTTATTTTTATATATTGTCACTGATCTTTTTGTTGATCATAGTGTTTGGTGTCGTGCTTGTGGAAAGTACATTTTAAAGATTTGAATACTTTTTTATTATTAAAGTATACTTGAGAACTTTATACATAAAGAAAGAATGTCAAAATATCTTTAATATTATTTTCAGTTTTAATTTTTTAAGCAACATAAGTTAATTCAGTAAGACAATATATTAAATTATATTCACAATTAAAAGGCATAGTGCTAATCTATATATTTTTTTTCTAAAATATAGTGAAATCTGTGAAATTTCTCTAGTTTTATATAAAAAACTTACATTGAAATTCTTTATCGAGTGAAGTGAGTTGATAATACTGGTGACTCAGGTCATTATTTCATGAAGATGATCGCCTACCGAATGTCCGATTGAAAAGAGGTTTTTTTCATTCGACACGCATACATGTTATCTGTATAGATTTTTGGCAAAAAAATATTAAACCACTAATTTAAATTTTACAGCCAATTACTGGAACCCACGTTCAATAAAATGGTTCAGTTGCGAAACGATGGAATTCGCTCGTTTCAACTTGCGCCAAGAGCTTCCATTAGTAGTAAACGAGAAGAAAATGCGAAGGTGCGTCTCCTATTATTTCGTTAAAAATTTTGTTATTTTGTCGTGTTTTAAGAAAGTCTAGCCTCACTTATTTCAGGTCAAAAAACATATTTTCAGTAAAAAAAAGACTTTAAATAATGACCTGACATTTGTTAAACACCTAATGTAGATAAACGAACATTATTTTTATTTAATTTCAATTAATCTGATTTAAAACCTAACTACTATACAATTTCTCAATATCCAATCACCTTTTGGAGTCAGTGCCTCAGTTTTACAGGTAATATGGATAATCTTCTTCTACCTATTAATTTCTCAGCTATAGCCAGGGTCTGCCTTACATGTTGTGAATAGTTTTGGCTATTTGTTTTTAGGCCGCCTGCCTACCTGACATCAACCCCCTTTTGGGAATCAGCATTTATCAGTGATGTCTAAATACTCTTAGAAAGTACATATGACTCGGAAAAATCACATTAGTACTTGCCAGGATCGAACCCGCGCCCTCGTGCATGAGAGGAGGACTTTTTAACCACTAGGACACCACTGACTTTCAGGTAATATGGATAATATTTCTTGGTAAATAGGAAGAATATTCAATGTTACTATTGGTGACTCAATATTACTGCCTATATTATGAAACACACCAAATTAGTCATTTGTTTTGAACCTGATTTCAGTCCCCATCTAAACTGCTCTACGAAGTTTTTCTATTGAGATATCATTGTTTCGCTAAGGAATTGTCCAATTTAAGTTGACAATAAATGAAATTTAGTTTTTATTCTATGCCAATTACTTAATATTTGTAATAAAGGCTATGATTTTCGCGAGTATTCATTTAAATGAAACTAATATTTTTCAGATGTGCGTCTCGTCTGCCCGTAATCACGGTTGTTGTAAAGTAACCGAAACGTCACACTATGGGAAAGCCACATACAAGGCCGTCTCAAAACTCTTTCACATCAAAGTCGTTGTTATGGAGTAAAACTAATTAATTAATTTAGTCTTATAAAAAAGCTTTCTTTCCTATATTTTTAAATTATTTTTTGCTAACGATAAATGTATATAAAAGGGCAAAGCTAATACATGTTCAATGATGTGATTTTGGCACAATACATTACTATAAATCAACGCCACATTACTCGAAAGTGTTTTATATAAATGTATGAGTATTATATATTTTTTTAATGCTTTGAATATCCTTATAACGTTTGTCAAATAATATTTTATATAATAAATAAATAAATTACAATTAACCAACATAGTTTAAGATGGTATAATTTTAGGGTAACTTTTTTTTAACGAGACGTAACCTTTTACCGCTGTCGAGATATTTATTGTATTACGATCTTTATACATAAGTTTACACAAGGAGAAAAAAAAAGTTGCGCATATTTGAACCTTATCATCAGATGCAAGGTGCAAAAACAAATTTATGTTTATTGACATTTATTTTTATTTTTTAAATAAATTAAACATAATTTTCAAAAGTATTATTTTTTATATTAAACCTTATACTTTCACGTATACATGCAAAATACATCCATGATTTTCCTATAGTGCGTCGGGAGTATGTAGTATTTGATAAAAATAAAAATCTCGTAGTAGATCCGAAAGATATTATTAGTTTCATTTAATATTTGTTAAATTATCAAGTTACATGAGAATAGGTGTAGGTTATTTTGGTTAAGTTAGTTTTAGATGTTCTAATTTAGTATTCTATTATTATATATTGCTGTTTAGTTGCATAATCTGTAGAAAGCACTAACTTCGAATGCACCCAATAAGATCTCTGGGACTCAATGTAGCTCTTCTTAAATCCGAGGCACTTGCTTTTCATGGGTTTCGGAATCGGCTCTCACCGGATAATAAGATTATTATGGATATAAAATAATTATGGATTGTTTCAATTTTCAGATGTCACTTGTATAATAATAGACATCACCTACGAATCCATCTGTGCAAGTGCAGTCACAACAATGAGTGAAATACATTCTCGCTTGAGCCGTTGCAACGATTGTACTTCCTCCAACTAAGGGTCTGTCAACAAGGTTACCTTGAAAAGCTCGAAAGACTGACGACAATCAAGAAACAGTTATCTTGAAATAAAGCTGACGAATCAGCCGACAGCGCAGTACGAGTCCCAACTTTTACACTTTTATGAAGCTTGCATCCAACTTTGACAAAATGGTTTTATTAAAATCATAGACGAGAAAGAGCCAATTTAAACATGAGATTGGGTAATTATTATCGTAGATCGTTTGGTTATCTACCTTATTGAGATATTTTTAATAACTTATAATACTATATATACTTATAATATTCTAAAGATGGATCGTAATAATATGTGATAATAATAATAATCTTATATAATTTATATTACAACCGAGAATTAACGAGTATTTCCGTATTTTTTTTTGGAAATTAGGAGTATTTTCCGTAACGATAGTCCTGTATCGTATGAGGTGTACTTTGTATTCCGCCTACCAAGTCACATATAAAGACATTTACTTGGTTTTGTCCTCAATCCATCCGTCCACTCACAGAATTTATCCTCTTCATCCAATAGTACTTGACAGTGTTTGGGGTTTTGTGGAGGATTACAAGATCGTCATCAAATGCCTCCACTATTTTAGCACGAATAGCATTAATGCATGTTGTATCGACTCACTCATTTTCTAGCATCTTTTAAACTCTCCGACAGCAAAGTGTTGTGTTCTTTCTACCTTAGATTAAAGTGCTAGTAGCAGAAACCCCCATCCGCCACGCATTAGTCCTCCCCATTAACGTAGGAATTTATAAGGCCACTGAAGCTGCCATATAGGCTCTACTTCGTCGACCCACTTGCCTACATCGATGTTTGATGTACCAGGCTAATCTTTTGTAATTTTTCCCGCATATACTTTATTTCACGTCGGTATTGGCGCCGTTTATATAGACCTGCGGGCAGATTTTTCTCTCTCTCTTTCAAACTGTCTCAAGGGTTTTATTTTTTGGACTTCTAGATATAAATATCGAGCTAGGCTTGCTTGGCTGTTATCCTCGACTGTATTTCCAGCAGTCATCTGTATTTCCAGCGTTAACTCGACTCTCAGGGCAGTCTAACTAATGTTATAAGTGTGAAGTTGGATCGAAACCAAAATGTATAACTTACATTGTAAAAAATCCATTAATTTTGAAACAGTCTTTGGGATTTCGTAAATGCAATTCTTCTTAATAACATCCTTACAAAAAGGGGTTCTAATGTTGGAGACATAGAATGACAACTCAAAATTTATACAATAAATTTATTTAAATAATTTATTCATAAGTTATAACCGTCATGGGTGTAGAGATGAGATTGTTTCAGGCATTACATTTACATCCGAGCTCTGATCCAGCTGGCGAAGGAAGTGACGCGAGCATAACCAGCTGGCATACCGGACTGACATCCTCTAGCTGACACGAAAGACGTTACACCGATCTGAAATAAAATACAGTTATTATACTCAGTGAAGCTTAACATCGGTACGATGAGTTTTGTGATCAGTTCTTGGTTAAGCAACTTCTGATAGTGTCTAAGATTTGATGAGTAACCTCCTGTTATTTGCAGTAA